GTACGTTAAAGTCGCCCGGTTCATAGCTCTCCATCTCTTCATCCATTTCGTTTGTCTGTTGTTCTCCACCCACATCGGTGGGGGGGATGGTTTCTGCTTTCACTGCTCCTTCCACTGAAGCCTCCACGTGCTCGCCGACTTTCTGTTCACTTTCTGATCCCCGCTGAGACGGCAGAGTGGATTCTGAATGCGCCTTCTCCGTTTCTTTGAAAACGTCGGTGTGCTGGAGCTGATGGGACTGAAGCGCAGAAGCCCTGGAAAATTTCAGCCCACAATCTTTACATTCAAATGCCTTCTTTTGAAGCTGGCAGACTTGATGCTGGAACGATTTCGACGGGGTCTCGTCGCTGTGTGCCGTGCGCTGATGTCTATAGTAAAACGTCAGAGTCATGAACTCTTTCCCACATTCCTCGCACGGAAACCTTTTTGTGGTGTTATCAGAGTGATTAGCGTGCCAGCGCTGGTGGTTAAAGAGGGCGATGTGGCCATTGAACGCCTTGTTGCACTCGCTGCAGTAAAACTCACCACAGCCCTTCTTTGGTTTTTGCTTCATCTCCTCCGGAGAGCAGAGCGTGTTACGGCTGAATCGCTGATGTGTTTTCAGCCGCATCATGCTAGAAAAAGCTTTGCCGCACAAACATTTAAAAAGTTTGTCACCGTCTTCTTCAGTCGGATTCTCACATGGCTTTACTTCTGCTGGCGGCTCTGCCGGCTGAACCGTTTCTCCAGAGCTCCTGTTTTTCGACTTCACCAGCTTCTCTTGATGGCAACGGCGATGAGCATCGAGAGCCGAAGCACGAGAGTAATTCCTTCCGCAGGATTCGCACTGAAACGATTTCTTTTTTAAATGTTCCAAGTCGTGAAAAACCGATTTGGAGGGCTGTCTGTGTGAGCGCTGGTGGTTGAGGAAGTGTCCAATCACTGTGTACGATTTGCCACAATCTGAGCATTCGTAGGCGTGCTGTTTTGTTGCTCCAGGATTAACATCAGACCCCTCCAGAGAGATTTGATCGTGGTCCTTCATGTGTAAGTGCAGTTCGCTCATCTCAACAAATGACAGTGTACAGTAAGAGCAAAAATAAAGTGCTTTGTTGTCCTTTTCAGAGTCAAGTAAACCATCAGACTGGCTGTCTAAATGCGTGTTTTGTGGAGGATGCTGAAGGCGATGCTCCAAGTACGCAGCCTCCTCGCCGAAAGCTTCTCCGCAATCCCGACAGCAGAAAAGTTCGTCCCCTAGAAATAGAAACGGGAAAATAGGAGGTCAAAGAGACTCCTGCTTCCAAGAAAGGAATTAAAAGAAAATATATACAAAACACAGGCTTAAATAATGTTTTTATTATTATTTTTACCACATTAAAGTTTGCAGGAAAAAAAAAAAAACACAAAATGAGACTACAGAAAATTTACATTCATTTTAAAGAACAGAAATGAACTTCTTTCAGTGTTCGACTACAGACCATTTTTTTGCTTTAAACAACTACTTTTTAAAACACAAGGACAATCGAAAAAGTGACCTTAATAATGCATGTGACTATAGAAAGCGAGTTTAAATGCCACATTTTAAACCACACTCACTTGCACTCAGTCTTAAATTTGAGTGATTCCAGCAAAACAGGGAGTGTAATCATGTTTAAATGATCTTAAATAAATCTCTACAGAACACCAAATCTAAAGGTTCACTGTGTTCATGACTCACATGTGAAATCCATGATATAAATTGTGACATAAACCACCTGATGACAACACTAACAATTCAAACCACATTTAGGTTATTTTATATAGCAACCACATGAATAAAGATAAAAGAATTTGATGCATTTCATCTTTATACTGTTTATTTCCCCCCTCAAAGTTGAATAATTGGCCCATTTTAGATCACTTCCAATCAATGACCAACATGTGTTCTTTACACTTTATCAGCTGAAAGGACCCAACACAGAGTCGGAGATCAAAGTTGGGCCCCTTCCTATTAACCTCCAGAGGTCATCATAATTACTATAAGCTGTAATAGTGAAATGGGATCACAGAACGAGTGTGACAATAGTGATAGAGTAGAGAGAAATGACAGGATCGTGGTCTTATCTAGTGAATGTCATTCAGCAGAATCTAAATCAATTTGCTTGCTTTAAAAACTTAAGATACAATAAAACAACCTTCAAGAGGATTGTGACAGAACCCAACCAGATATTATTGTGCAAAGGGAACATTTCTGACAAACATTCAGTGGACATAGTGACAACAAATGTTTTAGTTGTACGTCAGTCTCTTTAAAATTCAAAAATCCTAGAGAACTAGTTAAATTCATTCCAGAATTTAACTAAAGAAAATGTATTTTTGATCCAAATTAGAATGTTTTATCTCCAAGTTAACTCACATGAATTCACTAACCTTTATTTTATCTACTATAAAAGGTAGAACATTCAAAGATCATTTAAGCAGATTTAGTCATGTAAAGAATATGAATAACACATAGTTTTACCCAAAATCTTTTTAAAGGATTCAGCTGCCTCAGTCTTTAACCTCCTCATCTCAGATCTGATCTTGGTGCAAACGAAAAGTTCTTTGAATGCCTTCAGATTAAACCAGTGTCTTACATTTTATCTGCAATGTACCAAACATAGCTAAATATATTATAAATTAGTTTTTTATGACAAGCTTAGCCTTTACCACATTTATGCTTTTTAGAAACAGACAGTTTGATTCAGGTATATGTATGCATTTTAGCATTGATGGTTAATTAGTTGAGCAAAACACAACAGCAATTCAATAGATTTACACGAATAATACCGATTAAAAAAAAGCACCCGGCTTCTTAAATAAAATGTAGACCTTCAGAAACCCTGGTTAGACTAATACCGATCAATAAAACTAACATTAACAAGCAAGAACGTTTAGGCTTCTGGAGGCAAAATGTAAATTAGGACAAAGGGCTTGACAAAACATTGGTCTGGTATTACACACACAGTGACTATCAAAAAATTACTAATGCAACAAAACTCGTCACCCCGGTAATTGTATAACGCAAGTTTGCAAATTCGTGTTTTCTTTTTTTTTTTTTTTTTACACTTAAATTAGAGTATTAGTCTAAAGCGTGTATATTTATGATATTAGGTTAAAGTTAGTGCAGAAAAGGTAACCATCGCAGCATGGTTGCCCAACATATCGGTCTGTTTTGTGCTGGTGTTTAACAAGCGGATACTCACTGTCAGCGGCATCCTTAGCAGATGAATCCTCGTTGTTTTCATCGTCTTTGTCGACATTACAGGCCACGTTTTCAGCTCTCTCCTCTCCGATCTCTGCTGCAGAAGTCTCGTCCATCTTGCCTTGTGTATGTTTGCTAACGTTAGCTACCTTTCGCTAATGTTCGTTAGGCAAGCTGCGGATTTAGTGTGCCCTCTTTAATAATACTCAAACAGCTCGGATAGGAAAAGATTAGCAGACGTTAATACGAGTGAGAGTTTACTATAGTAGAGCACAGAACAACTGATCACCACAATTACACCAACTGTTAATCAACGGATTGCTTCTTCTTCTTCTTCTTTTGATTTTTATTGGCGGCTGGCATCCAACTTAAGGTGCATTTACCGCCACCTACCAGACTGGAGTGTGGTCATTAGAGATCTCAGAGGGAATTTAACACGCCTCAATGATGTGTACGATGTGCAAATTCACATCTAACACATTCATTAAATACATGTAAGAATGCATGCGCATGTACTGGCATACCCACACATACTTACACATATTCTAAATACGATTCATTAACCCAGTGTTATTTAAGAACCTAAATAAAAGATATCTAACATAATTTGATTTATTACCTAGTAGATTGATCATAGACAGTCCTATATTCTTTCTACTTAATAATGACTTTAAAAGCTGACGTTCCTCTGAGTATTTAACACATTCTAATACATGCTCCACTGTTTACAACGGATTGCTATTTTACACATGCGCATTTAAGTCGGTTGTAATCTCTTCTTCTTCTGTTTTGGTTTTTACTTATGCACGATCAGTGCCTCCTGCTGGAGACTTATCAGACTTAAATAACAAACACTTTTAAATACGAGTTTCATCAGTCGGGGAACAATGTTTAATTGACTTGTGTTTTAGTTATTCAATTGGTTCATTGGTCTCGTTCGTTCAAATGTTAGCTGAATATGGTTCTGTTTTTAAGAAACATGTTTTCAATGTTTGTATATTTCGTTTTGTTATCTCTGTGTTCTGTTTTGCTAACATTATCTCCAAAATTATATTCCCAAAAATGTAAAGCAAAAATGCAGTTTCAGTTTTGTATTTCTTTTGAAAGATTTTAGGTCAAGCTTTTATGAATCAGAAATAATTTTACTTATGGCACCTGGAGTCTACAAAATGTTAATAGAACCAGTTTTGAGTAACTATATCAGATTTAGAATTAGTAGGGCTTTTGACATCAAGTGCTCATTGTGTCAAAAGTTAAGGTAATCTTTAAATACTTTTTAAATTCACAACAAAGGTTTAAAATATATTTGATAAACAGTTGCATGCACTCATAATTGTTTACATGTAATTTATTCTACCAACAGTTTAGATTTAGCAAAACCATTTTTCTAATTTCTGTATTTTTTTTAATCCAAGCTTCGGTTCCGTTACAAATTACTCATGGCCTGGAAATAAAATTATCTAGGTCAGTTATGTTTTTAATAATTAATGGAGTCCCAATTTAAATAATGTTTAATAATATGTCCTAATGAATTGGGCTAAGTTTTGACTGATTATACATCTGTGAGTAATTGATATAGAGGTTCAACAACAGTTCTATTTTACAAATTGCCAAAGTATGCTTCCAGTTGTAACCATTTTTGGCATTTTAAGCAGTCATTTAATTATGTATATATTTATTTAAATGTGACACTTTAGGACATTGGGGCTCCAAAAGCACCAAACTGCAAGATAAAATACAATAAACATGCAAATTAAAAATTACTTTTCAGATGTGTGAAACAGCACCAAACAATGTAATAATCAAAGGCAGGTTTTATTTAATCCAATGTAAGGACATGATGGGAGAAACTTCCATGCTAAAACCACAGGTAGAGGTAGAAGGGTCAGTTTTGTAACCAATGAATGCACAGGAAAGGGAATAATTATTCTTTTACAAACAATAAATGTGTGTTTATTGTACAGCAGTAAAACGTTTTCAGACTGAATGTCCCAGTGAAGCTACTCCATTTTTAAAAACAGGGAAAATGAGAATCGGAAATTGACTAGAGCTACAGTCATGGAATGAAATGTTTGATCACAAAAATACATTTAAACACTTATAGGTGGGAATTGGTTTTATAAATATAGGTACATTTCTGTTTAATTCACACAAGATCAGTTTGACTAAAGTTTAACACCAGTTTGTCCTATTGTTGGAAAAAAACAGAAGACAAATCACAAATTGAAATCTGGTTTATTACAAAACTCACTTTCAAACAGTGTCATACTTTCCTAATGGTGACTAAATATTCATGATTCATTTTACTGAAAACTTTTCACATAAAAGGAGCTTTTAAATCACACATGGTTAGTTTTGTTATTGACAGTTTGCTTCAGCCAGATTCCCACAATGGTTACTGTGTTGATTGGCAAGACATTTGGACCCAGCCCATGGCTCTGTGTGCATACGAGAACTTTCTAGCAGAGATTACACCGGTAGGCCAGCAGCTTTCATTTGTACAGTGCTTTGCAAAATTATTCATACCCCTTTAATTTTTTATACGTCCTGTCACGGTACAACCATAAACGTATAGCATTAGGATTTTATGCTATGAGAAAAAACGTATAACCACAAAGTGGCAGTAAAATGATGCAAAGTTTTTACAAATAAATAAACTGGTGTGCCTTGTCAGGCTTATTCTGTTGTCTCCAAAAGTAATTTGGATTAATTCATGATCCACCTTGCAGTTTTTTAATACTTTCTATCACATAAAATCCCAGAAAGATGCATTCATGTTTCTGGTTGTAAAGTGTCAAAAATGCAAAAAAAAAAAAAAAAAAAAAAGATGAGGTAAAAATATTTTTGCAAGTCAATGTATGCTTTAAAAGAAATTTTACCTCATAACCCCAATCTTTTCAGCACATTTTGTGTTGCGCTGTCTTCAACAGGATGAGGTCACACCGTTTACTCTACTTTAAAAGCACAAACTAGGGCCTAGAATACCAAGACAGCAGACATGCAGACTGTACTCATAAAAGGCACACCGTATACTGTACATGGAGAAACACAGTACAAATGGTTCAAGACATGTGGACTGAACTAGAAAACTTCCTAATAAGATCTAAATCTAAATGCCATTGGCAATAAATGAAATGTAGCCTGCAGAACCTCATTAATCTGGACCGCTGAAATGATCTTAAGACGGTGAAACCAATTTAACACACGTGTACATCCTCTACTCAAACACACTGCACAGTCTTACAAACTTTAAAATCAAATGTGCAAATTGGGTCTAGTTTCACATATGTCTCTTTTTGTATTATTTCCATTCAAAACAGCAAAGTGTCAAATGAATGAGGTTTTACAGACAATTATAAAAACATAACTAAGTTTTGTTACTAGTGTAGAAATGTCATATCTCCCCCTGTGCATGTTGCAGGTAATGCATCTGTAGATCCAGCTCACGGGGAAGTGAGAGCCCGCAGATCATGCACTGGAGAAGCCGCTCCGGGGGAAAAGGCAGACGGGATCCGAGTTTGTGAGCTTCGGTCTGCGGCGGGAGCTGAGGTAGGGGCAGGGTCTGCGGCATATGTGGTCTCTCAGTCATGACCGGCTGTGGTGTGAAAAAGATATTGGGGTGTGGAGGTCTGGGCATCGCACCGACCGCGACAGAGTGCAGGGGGTGAGGGCCGGGCAAAGCCAGAGGAGGTAGAGGGGCGAGCGGAGGGGAGAAAAAAGGAGAAGGTTGGTTTATGATTATCTGAGCGGCCGTTGCCATTGGTTGCTGCTGCTGCAGCTCCTGACCGCCCCCTGGCTTGAGCTGGCCGGGAAGCAGAGTCTGAGGTCCGACGGAGTTGTTCTGGAAGGCCCACACTGGAGTTCCGATCCCCTGACTGAAACGGTGAGGCTCGTACTGGATGGAGATCGGGACCTTCTGAGTGGGGGTCTGCACGCTGCTCCAGCTGGGCGACACCTGTTTCTGAAATTCTTGGTTATTTACTAATTTTTCCACAGAGTTCACAGTCTTCGGAGCCCCTGGAGGCGTTTGAATGTCCCACAAGTTGTTGGCAACCCCGTGAGAGGTGGGAGCTGAAATTGGCATGGAGCTGCTTTGGTCTATCTGAGCTGAGGCGGGGGCAACTGCGAGGCCAGATGCCCACGGCTTCTGCGGCTCGCAGCCATTCCATGTCTTTTCTGGCTGAGTAACAGTCGAAGACATAACTGGAGGACCGCTGATGTCCCACAGTCTTTCCTCCTTCTTGGGAGGCGTGGACGGCTCAGCACCGCCCGGCCACCTTGGCAGTTGCAGGTCTTGGCTGAGCTTGTTTGGGGAACTCTGAGAATTTGTCAGTGGAGTGGGCCGGACACTCCACAGTGCTGCTCCGTCCATATAGGAGGGGGGAACGGGGAAATCGTGCTGCAAAGAGCTCGTAGAGGCCATGGCTGTGGATGTTGGTGTGCTATTCCATGACAGTTTATGCTGCCTCTGTTGCGTCATCTCACTAACCGCCGATGGGCTGGTTTTTTTTGGTACATGAGAGCCCAGGACAGAAGAAGTACTGTCCTTCATGTGGGAGTCCAAGTTCGGAGCCGATCCAAGACTCATTAAGGGCATATCTGCCCACCCTGGACTCCTCTGATGATGTGGTTGCGTTGGAGTGTCATATTGTGGGGGTTGAGAAGGTGCAGGCGCTTCTCTACTGTCCACGCTCCACTGGAGCGTTTGGGAGTGCGGCTCAGACGGCCACGCCTCGGTCAGATGCCTCGTTTGTGAATCCACACGTGTACGCAAGGGCTGCTGACGCACTTGCCTGTGCAAGTCAGCGTCCCTGTGAGGTGAAACTGGGTAAAGGTTTTGTGGAGAGGCGACTATCTCTGAGACCCCGGATGGTCTCGACCACCCCCACGCTGGCCTCCCTCCTCTTTTGCCCCTGCCTCTCATCCTGGTACCGGAAGGGTAGGAGTTGTAGTGACTTAGACCCTGTTTCTTGCGAGCGTGGATCTTCTGGTGAACCAGCAGGCTGCTGAACCAGGAAAAAGATTTGTGACACTCCTCGCAGCGGTGAGGCCTCTCCCCCGTGTGCGTATTCATGTGGTCGCGGAGCAAGTATGCCAAGCCAAAGCTCTTGTCACACAGCTCGCACTTGTGCGGCTTATCGCCGTTATGCGACAGCATGTGTTGCTGGAGCTGGGTCTCGCTGCTGTACCCTTTACGGCAGCTGGTGCAGCGGAACGGCTTCTGCTGGTGCAGCTTCTGGTGAGTCCTCATGTTCTGAAGGAAGGCAAAGTCCTTCCCGCAATCTGGACATTTGTACGGCTTCTTGCCCGTGTGGATGATGAGATGTTGCTGCAGGTAGCTGCTGAATCTAAAACCCTTGCCACATACTTTGCACTGGTATGGCTTGTCCTTGGAATGTATTCGCATGTGCAGCTCTAACACCGAGCGGTGCCGGAATGATTTCCCGCACTCTGAGCACTTGTAGGATTTAATATTTAATACCTTCCCTTGCGTGTTATCGCTGCTTATTTGAGTAAGCTGCTTTTTTGGTGCGGCTAAGGTTTCTAAATACTGTGCAGTTGGCTTGTGGACACTTATCAGATGTCCTTTTAAACCAGGCTCATCCCGAAAAACACTGGGGCAGTGTGGGCAGGTGTGTCCCTTCTCCCAGTGCTTGTTGGGAACCACTTGATATTGGAGTAGCCTCTCTTGCTTTTCATACTCGTCCTCGTGGAACTGCATGTGCGCTCTCAGGTTAGCTGCAACATAGAAGGTCTGGGGACACAGAGGGCAGCCGAAGGTGCGTTTTGTATCCTCAGTCGTATGGGTGTTCTCCTTCTCGGGACCTTTAGCTGCCTCATGTCCAGAAGTGAGAGGCTGCTTTCCAGGCGGCTCAACAGATGAGTTTGTGTCTCGTAGCCTGTGCTGGCGGCAGTGCGCCTTCATGTTCTGGGCGAAAGCAAATTTTTTGCCACATTCCGGGCAGTGGAAAGGCTTCTGGCCAGTGTGTAGGTACTGGTGTTGATGGAGGAGGCTGCTGTACTTGAAAGTCTTACCGCAGATGTTGCAGAGGTGAGAGCGGCTGTTGTCGACATGCTTGCGCCGGTGGTCTTCCATGACGGAGTAGTGTTTGAAAGCCATGCCGCACTCTGGACACTCGTACGGTTTAAGAGCAGCATGGGATTTCTGGTGGAAGCGCAGGGACATGATGTTTGGGAAAGTCTGGCTGCACTCTTGGCATTTAAAGGTGCACTCGCGGGAATGCATCATCATGTGCTTGGTAACAGATACTTTGAACTGGAAATCTTGGCGGCATAGAGTGCAATGGTAAGGCTTTTCTGCTGCATTGTTGCAGTCGTGGTCCCTCAGTTTGCTCACTTGAGAAAAGATCCTCTTGCATTCTGCGCACTGATACCTAAACGGAGCCCGCATTTCGTCCTCCAACTTTGTAGTCTCGAGGGTCTCCTCTTTTTCTTTGTGTTGGTTCCTGTGTTTGATGAGGCTGCTGCGGTGCTGGAAGGTAAGGCCACATTCTTTGCAGGTCGGGGGCAGGAGCTCGTCCTCGTGCGCATGAAAGTGCCGGTGAAGGTTGAACATCTCGCGCTGGCTAAACTTCTGGCCACACTCCTTGCACTCCCAGCGGCACCTTCTTTGTTTAGCTGTAGAATCTGCCTCTTCGTCGTCATCGGCCCTGTCCTCCGTGGCGTCGACTTCACCCCGCAGGTCCTCAACTGCCAACTTCTCTGGAGAACTCTCCCCATCGTCAGTCTTTTCTGATTCTGCTTCAGCAGGAGCGTCCTGCTTCACGTTGTTAACAGTCTCAGCAACTTTGAGGTCTGAAAGACAAAAGCACACCACAGCATACAGCTTTAATGATTAATCATACTTCACAGGATTAGAAATTGTTGCGCTATCAGCACACTTGCAGATCTGAAGCTATCTGTAAAGCTACCAGTTGGCATAATAGGAAATGAGTTGCATAATACCAGGAAAACTTTGGGAGTAATTATTTTAATTGGAACTAGCCAACATCTTCCCCACTACCATCTTTCTTTCATTGTCACAATCTCTCCAACACTCTTAACTCTCTTCTGATTTTGGTCATTCAAATCTATATCAGTTGTTGGCTTAAATGACTGCTGAACGTTCATCAATTTGGACAGTTGTATTATTGAAAAGTACAGTTTAATTCACAGTCCTTGAAATGTTACCTGCACTAAACCTTTCAACGGAAACAGCCATTTATTTTCCCCCCCTTCACCACTTTTAGTGCAAGGAAAAGTCCATGGAACAATTGTAACGGGGAAACCGCAGTCATCTGTTTTAATAAACGGAAAGGATCGCTTTGTGCCTGCTGAACTTTTCAAACAAGCGAGAGAAGACTGGACTGGAAAATTAAATTAAGCCTTATACCAAATCACGAATGCAGCCCCAAAGATGGAAAAAAAAAAAAAACACTTTCTATTACACAAAGTTATTCAAAATGTAAGAGACTATAACATTTTCATATCACTTGCAAGTATGTGGCTTGTTTTAATTAAGTGCAGCCTATTTAAATTCGATTCATTCTTGTATTAATATCAGCTAAATAATTAAGGATAATTAAAATAGGATGATGTAAAATTGATTTGGTCGCCTGCACATAAACACTCAGTCGCAGAGTTTAGTATCATGGGATTAAACTGTATTTATGAACAGTTTGCATTATTCATAGATTTCTCCTGTTTAAATATTCAAATGCTCTCCAATAAGGGCCGCAAAACTTCAGGAAAAAAGAGCAACTGCAAAACCCTTGCTGCACACTGTAACAGAGATGTCGATTATTATTATTATTATTGTTATGCCTTGTTTTTTTTCTTCATCACATCAATTGTGTGTATGAGTGGACATGCACACATACACCTAAGGACAATTTAGGTTTGACTCAAAAGCACCGCACAATGCATATTGTTTGTGTTTTGGCTGCTGAATGAATTATTATGCAAAACATATCTATCTGCTACAATTCCCACTGAATAAATGCTAAGAGAGTCTGGGCCTTGGTTTAATTAAACCTGGGCCAGGCTTTATGCACACAACCATGTTCGTTTTGCTTCTGGTCGTTTCAAATCATATTAAATTTTGGTTGTAGTTCAATATTAACATTTAAAGGAGACAAAGCTATTAATAATACACACAATATATAAAACTGATATTTATATTTCACAGAATTGACAGTCTCTCTAGTGCTACAAATTAAACATTTAATAAAGATAGATTATTTTTCCTATCGAGTAGCACTCAAATGAAATTAGCTTTAATATTATTAATGCCACTTCAGTGAATTAGACGGGCACAATATGTCGCCAGTATATTATTATTGCAATATCAGTGTGTGCGATAATATCACTACAAGTTATAGATGTGCATTGTAAACAGACACATAACAGAACTGTTATTGTCAGTAATTACCAATATTATCACCACGGCATGATTTTCTAATATGTAGCCGTAAAGTCAATCCATAGTTACATTATTAAAATCTTGAATATTGATTTTGTAAAAATTACTTTTAGCTTTTATCAAACTCCATTTAAAATATCCATAAACTAACCAAACTTACTAGTAGTCAAAAACTGTTCAGAATCACAGTTTCAATTAGGGCTGTGTAATATCGATTTTACGATATATATCGATATTTTCTTTCCTAGAAAAAAAATCGATATTCATCCGCAAGTATCGTAACATCCAACTGTCACCTTGCTCACTCACTGCTTGCTTTGCCAGGAGAGTAATTAGGTCATCAGGCTTAGAGTGATTCCTTCACATGTTAAGTGTCAAGATTGAAAGGTATCACACTATGCAGAGCAGGTACTTGGTGCACTTTATTTACTTTACAAATGCATGTAAGCTACAGTTTGTACTGTTTAAACTAAAGGAAACATGTTTTCTCACCACTTCTTTGATTCATTTTGTCCAGCTGTCGACTTTAAGTCTGTGTCCATGTCTAACCAGAGCCAGGTATTGTGTAGTTGGTGCTTTTAATCAGTTTTCAGTTAAATTAATTCAATCCAACTCTATAACAGTGACAAAATGTCACCAAAATCACTCTGTCCTTCTAAAATCTTTCAGAAAATCACAAAAGTGTATTGAATTGTATCGTTCGCTGAATATCGCTCTCTCTCTCTCTCTCTATATATATATATATATAGTATCGTGAGCAGAATATTGTGTATCGTATCATGAGATTATTGTATCACTACAGCCCTAGTTTCAATAAAGTTTATCTTGCACCTTTCCAGGAAGTCTTAAGCTGCTCTAAGAAGAGATACGAGATTTCTGAATTCTTAGGAAACTTAGTAGAAAACACATGACTGGCTAATATCATTATCAAGAACTGAGCTGACCAAAACCGCCAAATTGATCAAGAATCAGGTACTTCTTTGGTCTTAAAGAGGAAGATTATAACTTAGTGGTACTTTTGTTCCTCTATCACTTCTAAGCTAAGGTGAGAGGAGGAAGGTCAGGGACCGGCCAGTCAGTTCTAAAGTTTTGGCCAATAGATGAGTTGTGTCATATTATCTAGGCAATGAGCAAACTGAGTCTTAAATTACCCAATCACTTCTTCTTCTATGACTCCTGAAAATTCTCACAGATGTGCATCAGATTTTAAAAAGCAGTTTTATACTTAGAACTTTGAGCTACTAGACAACTGAAGGTTTCACATCTAAACTGATGGGAAATTGGACCTTTTCCTAACTCCATCCATTCTCAGGACTTTTCCATAGTTTAAGTTTCAGTTCTCAACATGTTCTGTAAAAAAAAACCCATTTGGTTTCACACCACGTCATAAACGCCTCATCCAATCTCTTCCTGGTTTATCCTGTGTTTTTGTAACTGATCACAGCAAATCGGGACAACTTAACCACACAACTATAATCTTTGTACCACTATTCCTGCCAACAGACACCCTAATATCTCCACAATACTACAACAAAGACATCACAATCCTGATCTGATGATTTCTTATCCAAACCGGCAGCTGGAAGATGGGAGGTAACCTCAGAGCTCCAGAATGTGACCAGTTTGGATGCAAATGCAACTGGACTTTTCAGTAGTGCACCTAAAAAATAAAAAATAAAAAAAATAGTACAAAGTGGCACTAGTGTAAATAGTCATATTAAAAGAAAAAAAAAAAAGTCTCAGACACTAGACGTCTACTTGTGGTCAAAAATCTGAAATGTTCAGGGGTGGGGCATCAACAGCCCGAGTCCAAAATAACTTATGAATTCAGGGGAAAATAATAAGCTGTGAGCGCAGCTGTGAGCGCAGCTATGAGCGGCGCATTGACCTACTTTAAATCTGTCACGGGTGATTTCAAAATAAATGCAGGGATATGGGAGTCAGTCAATGTTATTCCTATGCTTGTTCGTTGTTTTACCACTCTTCGAACGCTGGTTTCAGTTAGTACTTGTTTTAAATCTGTTTTAAAATTGGAGCTCATCGCATTTTGATTGGCTGGTGCTCTCCATGAACTGGCCTTTTTACATCCAAACAAAATAAGCCATTTTCTCTCTCTTTTCTCAAACTGGTGCTGCGTTAGAACTGGTTTTTCAGGGATAGGCCTGGACTTTGTGACACAGTGGACACATCAGGTATCCACCAGCACCAGATAAGCACTGGAACTGGTTTGGTGGAAAAGGAGCCTTTGAAAGCAACCACAGATCCATCTGGAAAAATGTGAACCCAGAGCATGAAGCAACCAGCACAATGCTTCAGTGTTTTGTTCTTATCATATACTGGAGTCTTTTTGTGTCACACCCTTTGCTCCATAAGGTTGTAGATTTTAATCGCTCGGGAAAAACAAGTATATATATATATATATATATATATATATATATATATATATATTTTTTTTTTTTTTTTTTTTTTTTTTTTTTTAAAAAAAAAAAATTTTTTTTTTTTTATAAGGTGAAAAAAAAAAAAAAATTTTTTTTTTTTTTTTT